CTGAATTTTCTGCCACGGGAAGAGGGCTGGGGTTCTACCACATTTCAGTTACTAACTCAAATACGTAAAAGACGAATGTTTGGAAAGAAAGGTATATGGAATATTCACCTCTAGCATTCATTTCTCAATGTCAGATCTTTTCTTAAATTATATTCTCATAATAGAAGAAAGTAGCAAAGAACTTTTGAAATAAAGCGTAACCTCATTTTCCCATCTTTATTGGTGATATTTCTGCCCAGATTGTCCTCTAGTTGGCAGGAGTAAGGAGTTTGTAGTATGTGTTTTGGCCAAAAACATGACTGTTTCAAAGGGTGTTTTTTTCTTTCAATAAACATAATAAACCACAACTAGAAAAACACAGATTAGCTAACTTGTTAATACTTTGAAAGAATCTAACCTATGAGAATATAAATTTTTATAAAGAAGAGTAACTGGAATATGTATATCATTACCATAAAATTAATTACTTCGAAAATGTAGTGTAGTATTCTAAGTAGTCCACTCATCTGTTTATAAAATATGATATATTTAATGTGCAATCATGAACTTTGAATTCAGTTTTTTGATGAACTTTTGAAGGCTTCTTCTTAATAAATTATTATGGTAATGTTATATGTCACAAGGTCAAAAATAAGGTTTTTTAAAAATCACATGGTATTTTAAAAATAGCTTCTACTAATAGAGGATTTTGATGATAAAATGACAATAAAAAGGAAGAGAAAAACATCTCTAAGGTAACTTTTGCGGATAACAATGGGTTAGTTATAATATAATTTCAATTTATAGTAGAAACTAAGGTGTAAAAGTTAATTAACTTACCCAAGGCAATTGATGAGGAGATAGGTCTCTGAAGTTCTCCTTTGAGCCTAGGCAGGGAACTGAGAGCAATGTTCCATTTGTACAGTTTTGTATATTTCTACAGGTTTCAGCAGAAGATAGAAGTGATTAAACATTGTTTGGAAGTACTTCTGAAAAGCTTAGTCATATAGACATTTAAAAATGTCTTTTTGTAAGCTAAGAAGAAATAATATTAGATCTTTTAGTTTCCTATGATCTAATTACACAATTGGAAATCTCCTTTTCTGCTATGTATGTTTATTTGTGAGCAAAATTAATTTTGTCTTGTACAAACAAACCTTTCCTTTGTGAAATACTAGATAGATGAAGGAAGCAGTCAAGAACGTCATACCAAGGGGTTTGAAAAATTAAAAAAAATTGCAACTGGTAAATCATAGTCCTGGGTTCAAATGTTTACTCTCTCTGGTATTGTTCTTAAGGAAATAGTATGATTTAGAGTAATAAAAGTTGACTATCTTGTCACCTAGGGTTTTAAATCAGCTAATAAAAACATTACCTGCCTTTTGAAGCTATGAGGGGCCCTGATGGCACAGTGGTTCAGTGCTCAGCTGCTAACTCAAGATCGGTGGTTCGAATCCACCAGCTCTTTGGCAGGGGAAAGATGTAAATTTCCATCCATAAAGATTACAACTTTGGAAATTGTATGGGGCAGTTCTGCTCTATCCTATGGGGTCTCGGTGAATTGCAATTGATCCAGTGGTGATGGGTTTGGGGATTAAGTCTGTATGTGGAAACTCATCAAAAAGTAAAAGAACTGGAAATGCTTGAAAAGAGAGGCAGTAGGAAAGAAAGAAAAAGAACGAAGGAAGGAAATGTAAAGGAAGGTGAATGAATCATGCTCCTGCTGTTTAAAAGGGGCTACTTTAAAAATAAATACGTCAAATCTGTTCGAGTGCTGGGAGAAATATAGCTTCTATAGGTAGATAATGGGGGCCAAAAAAGCCTCCTTTGGGAGTAACTCATTAAGCCACTGTGTTGGGCTGGATTTTCTAGAGACAAAACTAATGACACTCAGGTAAGAAAGACATTGATAGATCATCAAGAAGATGTCCCAGCCCATCCAGCTCAAGCCCATGGGTCTGAGGCTAACCCTCTTCAGACTCACAAAGCTGCAGGCCGATGACACAGGAAGCTATATAGCAGGGAGATCACAGGCTAGGTTCAGAGTCACAGGGCGCCAAGGTCCGTGGGAACCTGACAGGGTCTCAACAGCCCACCCGGGGCCCCCTCTGGAGCAGACACAGAATTCTAGCAAGCAGGAGTTCTAAGGGCAAGAGAGAGAAACTTCCAGTGTCTCTTATAAAAAGACCACTCCCCTAAGGAGGCATCACCAGGCTACCACCTGATTGACAGATTGGACTCTACCCCTCTCTCCACATGGGCACTATCAAGTTGACATAAAATCTAACCACACATTACCTAGTCTAAAGTTTACCCCCCAAAATAAAAATCAAGCATACTGCTTTTGGGTCTATTTTGACCCATAACAACCTTATATAGAATTTCTCAAGCGGTAAATCTTTACAGGAGCAGGTAGTGGCTCGTGGATTTGAACCTCCAGCCTTGTGGTTAAACAACCTAGTGCTTACTCAACAGCACCACTTATTTTTCCATTACTCATTTTTCTATCACAGAGTTTTGAGAAATTAATTTTAGATTTGGAAATATCTATTCCCTTTATTATTCCTGCCCTCTACTAGAGTATCTCACATAGTAGTATAGCCCCATAACTCCATAGCTACTTATTAAATAAAATAGAATATTTCTTCTGTCTTTAGGTAGTCTCTGATTCTCAACCTAGTCCAGTCACATCATTTTTATATCTGTGGCTATAGTAAGCATGGATGAGTGGATTGCGATCTGGGAGGCTGCATCTGTTTTTCCTCGTAGTGCTCTTACAGCGTTCACTGTTGTCTATGCAGAGTTCTCAGGAAACATGGCCAATTGACAGAGACCAAAGGAAAAAAGACTCCAACGAGACTTTAAGAAATGGTAGTTTAGTGAGTGAAAAATGCATTAGTTATATAATGCTAGTTATATAATCATTTAACATTGTTTACGTTTTAAAAAAATCACATTATATGTCCTATATTAACGTGAGCCATGTTTGTAAAAGATGAATCAATAGAAATCCGTGTCTGTAATTACATGTATTGATTGATGCCTTTTAAAACCATTGAGCCTTAGAGTCATGTTTCCCAGTTGTATTTTGCAGTGTGTAACCAGCTCAAATTGAAATGTAGCTAGGAAGATGGGGGGTATTTATCCTAGTTTTTAAATTATTATGGTTTTTTTCCCCGAAAAATATTTTTATTGATACATCTTACTCATTCCAGCATATCCCTTCCTTTCCCATAAAGCTCTGATGTTCAGTCCCATCCAGTGGGGCTATACAGTCATCAATGCCATCAACTCCCTGTTCCCCTCTCCCCCTTTCCCATGCCCTCCGGGAACCCTTGTTCCTGTGGGTACCTCTGGGATTATTGTGTATTTTAATATCTGATGCCCACAGCCTGTGCAAGTGAAAGCATAGTCGTGAGTACCTATCTGCAAACTTCAAATTGTTCCTGAAGCTAACCTGCAAATAGTTCACAATTACTACAGAATACTACATTGTGAACAAACTATGTGAATTCTACATCTAGTGATATGCATATGACTGTTATCTTACTGGGAACTTTTAATTTTCTTAAATTGTATATAATATTTCACAGCATCTTCGATGATCAGTTTAACTCCCTCCCCACCCCCTACTGAGGTAGATCTTGGTTTCATTAGTATCCCACATTTAAACAAATGCCCCACTTCTCAGTCTCCCTCAACATTTACACTTTTGTCCATTTGACTTTCAATCATCTGCCACCTAATTTGTGTTTAAATCTTTTCTTTGTATACATAACTCCATGAAGTTAAAAAACTTCATTTCTGAATAGATTATGAGTGAATATTGAAATATTTTTTTAGACTTAAAGTGAGAAGCAGGGGTGGAAAACAAGCTTTTCATAACCTAGTCAGGTCTAAGTGATTGTGGGAAATGATTAAGGACACTGCTTTTTTAATGCCTCACACACAAATTTAGGGGGAAAGGGCTCAATAAATATTTTAAATGAGGAAATGTTTTCTTTATATAATATGAAAAGTAGAACAAATTTTGAGAGATGCTATAGGTATTTTAGGGGCCTTATTGACACTTGTGGGTATGGGATGCACTGCTCAACACAAGGTCAGCGGTTCAAACCCACCAGTGACTCAGTGGGAGAAAGCTGAGGCTTATCTGCACCCATGAAGATTTACAGCCTGAGAACTAACTCTCTCTTTCTCTCTGATGTGCGCGCGCACACACACACCTGATGCTTATCTGCACCCATAAAGATTTATAGCCTGAGATCTCTCTTTCTTTCTCTCTGACACACACACCATCACCACTCCACCCCCTACCCTCCGTGCGGTCTTTGAGCCTGAATCGCTTCAAATGGCTTTGGTTTGGGGCTGGGTTGTATTTTTATTTATATTTTATTTATTTTTGTTGTTGTTGTTGTTTTTAATTTATATTTTAAACGTGAACAAGGAGAAAGGCTGGTGCTCGATGTGTTTGTGTGTACATAGGGGACGTCGTCCATTACTTTCTGGACTGTAAATTCTTTGAAGGCTCTCTTTTCTCCATTGCGTTTTATCAATTTTAAGATTTTCAATGATCTCTTTCCACTGTTAAACATTATTTGGGCATATAAGAAACTCAAATATATTGTTTAAATTTTCTGCTGCCTCTAAGTTACATTCATTATTGCTAACAAATAGTAATAAACCGATTTGCATATTGATTTGTAATTTGAAAATTATAGCTCACTGAATTAAATGCTCACCCATGTTAATTTAATAACCAAACCCACCTGTTTAAGCATTGAATTTAGTATTATTCAAGGTTTCTTGTATGCCTCCTGCACATTAAAAAAAAATTCATCTTGCGATTCCTGATAAATAAGGAGAATGTCTATTAATTTGTGAAATATTAAAAATGAAAATATCTCTCCTACAACAATTTTGAGAAATGACATGAAACAGAGTGTGAATCACCATTTAAAGTGCACTCTTGGGGTACCTAGTTCAAATTGTAATCCTAGTTTTTCCTGCTCCTTCCATAGCTTCCGGCAGATTTCACAAAGCTACACCTTACTGACAGTCTCCACCCACAGGTGACCCACGTTTCATCTAGCCACTCAGGATGTAGTATCACAAGTGATTCTGGAAGCAGCAGTCTGTCTGATATCTATCAGGTAAGAAAACATTTTCTTTGTTCTTTGTTTCATTTTTACTTGTTCCACAGAAGGTTATGCTTCCCAATTGATAAAATCTAGAGAGTAAGCGATGCATCCGTTCTGTGTGTGTACAATGTTTGCCTTTCACATAGACCTGTGGCATGTTCCAGGTCACCAGGAGGTCGAATCGCACTGACAGCAATGGTTATACTCTGTTAGGAAGTAGAATTACTGTCAGTGACGCTTGGTTCGGTTATTACCAGTCACCAGAACTTTAAACAGTAGCTGAAATGGAATTATATCTCCCTTAAATGGAAATGTTTTATTAATTCAATTATAGACATATTCAATTTGTGAATCTTTATTGAGTAAACAAAATAGCGGAAAGCTTCAGATTATGCGTTTCTAAATTTTTATTTTTTTATCCAGGTCTTGAGCATGATAAAAATAAAAGGAATGTTTAGATTGGATTCCTGAATTATTTTTCTTATGACTTTTTATTGACTACAAATGTGGTTTTGTGTTTAAAATAGACTCTTGAATTAGAAAGAAATAGAATGCTAAGATTATGCAAACTGTTAATAAATGGCTTCAAATAACACACACACACTATATCTATTTTAAAGGAGGTTTGGTGGTACAGTGGGTTGGACTGCTAACCACAAGGCCAGCAGTTTGAAGCTGCCTGTTGCTCCATGGGAGAAAGATGAACCTTTCTGCTCCAACAGAGTTTTTGCAGACTGAGAACTGAAAAGGGGACCGTTCCACTCTGTTCTACAGGGTTGCTATGAATCAGAATTGACTTTTGCTAAGAATCAGAATTGATTTTTTTTTTAATTTATATATGGTAAAAAATAAAATGTGATTATTGACACCAGCAGAGCTGGGACAAGAGACGATCATAAAAGTACCTTTCTTTGGGAAAATTATAGTTATTCAGGATCATTGACATATTCAGGCATTACTAAGTTTCTGTTTGTTTTACATACTAAAAGTAGCTAAACAATTAGAATACCACGTGAGCAACATATTTTAAGTCCTAATAGATCTCAGAAAAAAATTAAAGAGATAATGTATTAGGTATACAGTGAACCCTCGTTTATCGCAGTTAATCGGTTCTAGACCCTACCCTGATAAATATAATTCCGCGAAGTAGGATTCCTTATTTGTAAATCAAATATTTTCGTAGTTAGAGCATAGAGGACATGAAAGAACACCCTTTAGTCACCATTACACTCGTATTACCCAATTTATTAAACGAAAAAGGGAAAATACAGTAAAACATTTTGGATGTTACAATTATCGTTTATTATTTATTATATTATTTATGGCATCAAGTGTGTACAGTATGAGCCAATCAGTGGCAGTAATGACAGCATGCACTGTTACACAAAAACCGCGATAGAGTGAAGCTGCGGAAGTCGAAGCACGAAGTGGCGAGGGTTCACTGTACTTATATATAGTAAGTATTTTGAGAGCTTCCTGATGAGAATTTTGGTATTTTAAGCAACCCCAAATGTCCTGTCTACCTATCCATAGCTATCGATGCAGTTATTTGTAAATTTTTGACTCTGTAAAAATCTTATTTTGCGATAAGAAATATAATTATTTAGCTCTTTAAAATAACTGCTTAAGGTATTTAAAAACATATAACTGCAAAGTATAAACCCAAATATTACTTTATAATGGCAGTGGACCAGGGTAAATTTATGTAACCCCATATACTGCCTAGTTCTAGAAGTTGCCTTTTTAAACATACAAGAGTCTCTCTCTACAATATAATCAATTTCAGTAAAAGCTATGCTTTATCTAGAAGCTTTAGATAGTAAATAAAATATCATGGCATAGAGATGACTTTGTATTTTAAGATGGGTAGTGGGAACCCAACTTGAAATTTGTATCAGTTATCACTGTTTTCAAAGATCTGTAAACTTGAATGGTGCTCCTGGAAGGGAAGTTCATGATAGGCAGCCAGTTATGTAATTTATGAAGATATGTGAGCAAGATTAACCTCTTTATATACAGTTATCGTCAGTAGGAGGCCAGAATAAGTTCATGTCCGTGGTAATTTTACCATCAGAAAATATAGATGAAAATGCCCAAATGGTCTAACATGGAGCTTGCAGACTGCAGTCTCGCTTTAGATTAAGGAGGAATGGAGATGCAGCTGTGTGCCATTATGTGTCATTTAGGAGCATTTTAAGGTTTTTCATTTCAAATATGACAATAGGCCGGTAGATTTATATTCTTCATAGGAAAATGTCTATAGATGTAGCATATGCTAAGCTGCTGAAATGTCTGTAGATGTAGCTGTGCTAAGCTTAATATTTTATTTGGCCATCTCAGGTATTTCTTAATCAGTTTCTTAAGATCAAAAGAAATCTGACAGATGTACCTCGTGCAACTTCTGATTTTGTATCCGACTCCTCTACAACTTTCCTTGTTATCAAACATCTAGTTTCCTCACGAACAACTCCGCAGATGAACCTCTATCCCATGACTTCCCACATGATCTTTGTGCAATTCTGACTGAGGAGGATTTTTCTCAAAGACTGAAAGTTGTTAGATTTAACTGAGTATCAGTGCTCACCAGGTGGACACGATTAGATGAACGTTGTATGCTATAAGAAGCGGAGAGATAGGATGGAGTAATGCTGGAGATAGGGTGGAGGGGAGCATTTCCCAGTAAGCGGTTGGAGTTGGGAGTTGAACAAGTTTCTATCTGATGGCTTCCATTCTCCCTCTGAAGAGTTGAGTTCATTTGTTACGTCGGGAGCAGACTTTAGAGCGGTGAGTTTTAAGGAGAAATGTTTGAAATAGTCATAGAATTGGAAAGCAAATGGACCAGAGACACTGAGCCTGCATTGATTTGGTGCCTTCAAATACACAGTGATTTCTTAGCTTTGTGAACTAATTTTCAGCATCGTAAGCACGAAGAAAGCAAAGATTTGAGCTTTCCCCAAACCTGACATCTTATATTAGAACAACACAAAGACAGTCAGAGACCAGCTCTCTCTCGGGCAGAGCCTCACGTCTGCTCTCCTGCTTCTGAGAATGTTTTCTCGTGGCTTGGTCTCTTTTGACCTTCATGGCCAGTATCACCTTTTCAGAGAGCTGTCTCGCATCAGTCTGTGTAAAGCAGATCTTACGTCTTCTGCCCTATCCTTTCTAGTGCTTATTTCCTCCCTAGACACACACTGAAATGATTGTTCTCGTATGTTATTGTCTTCCCACTGAAGTAACACAACCAGGACAAAATATAGTTTTGCTGTCTCCCACTTCCCTTCAGGTTCTAGTGAAGCTGTGTTGATCGAATCGACTTAGAATGACAGGTTAGGGAATGTTAACTGGCAGGGAGAAGAAAGAGGAGGTGGTACAGAGGTAGACATAGATGGTAGTAGAGTCTAGAAGACTGACAATCCTGATTGAGTTGAAAAGGGTTTGTTACGGAAATAAATAGAAGCAAATGGAAAGGGTAGGAGGCTGTTGGTGACAGAAAACAGAATGCCTCCCTTGGTGATGTGAGATAATACCAATCCCAACCATAGGAAAGTCCATGATAAATGACCTGACTGTCAGAGTGAATGGCTTAGGTGCACTAGATATGTTGTTATTACCTTCATACTTCCTGGCCTAAATATACATCAGTGCCTGTCTCGTGTGCTGTTTGGGTTCACTGTGTATGACTTGTGTACAAAATGGGTTTATATCAGGGATATAAAAACACAAAAACAAACTCACTGCTATAGAGTTAATTTTGATTCATAGTTAACTTATAGGACAGGGTAGAATTGCTTCTGTGCGTTTCCAAGACTACATCTTTACGAGAGTAAAATGTCTCGTCTTTCTCCCAGGGAGCAGCTGGTGGTTTTGAACAGTTGATTTTGCGGTTAACAACCCAACACATAACCACTATGCCATCAGGGCTCCTTACTTACTAAACAGGTCCCCTGAAATACGATGATTAATAATTTTAAAGGTCTTACCAATTTTGCAATCATTTTTAAATGCTTTATGGTAAAATGTGTAATAGTTTCTATTTGAGTTAAAACCCTTCTGGGCATTTGATATTTCCTCTGATTTTTCATTTATTGATATCTCTAAATGTACAAAATTAATTTTCTTAAACTATAATCATAATATATTGTGTGTTTGGATTAAAATACAAGATCTTTTAACTTTTATCTGAGAATATTAATTTTTATAGTATTGCTGTTTAAATAGTAATGAAAATAAATATGTTAGGCTATATGTGTAAAAGATAATTTAGTACAAGAGTTTTTTTATTTACCTGAAAAATATAAGCTTTTCTTCCAGATATAAAATTAATCAGATAACTTTCAATATGAAGTATTTATGTGCATCTTATTAGAGTTAAAAATTATAAAGGTAAACATTAATCTTCATAGTTTGAAAAAAAATCGCAAGTTTTTGTTTATGCCCAAATAGTACATTTTCATAACTTTTGATCTCATACAACCGTGCTTCAGAAAGTTTGTGAAAATTCCATTATAAGTCCATTTTTCCATGAACTTTAATTTTGGGCTACTAACTGCAAGGTCAGCAATTTAAAAACTGCCTGCGACTACATGCTTTGTGTTTGTTTTTTACTCAAATTCTGTGACTGTCAGTAGTGTGCATGGCTCATTGCTGAGATAGAAGGAGGTGGAAAGTGCTATGACTGAAATAAAAATATATGCCCTTGAGACTTTTGATCTAGCTCCAGATTAATTTCTACTCCTCCTCAACCTTCTCCTTATTTGACCTGAGAGCAATCCTGTATGTAAATAATAAGAGCACATTTTTCCAGTGTACAAATATTAAAACTATTCCTGAATTTCAGTGACATGACTAAAGTCACAGAAGGAATGAAAGAGGTGAAATTTGCTTGTTTACCAGCAAACACAAGTTCGACAAAGGTACCAGGCCTTTCTCTTAGGTTTAGTACTCCATTCTCCTGTAGGCCTGTTGGATTTCTATTATCCCACTTAAACCCAACCAACTGTGTGTGTGTGTGT